CTCTCCAGCTTGTTCATCCCAAGCTGGCACAGCTGCTCACCCTCAGCAGTGATACATACATCAAAATTAGCTATGTCCAGCCCTACCTGTGAAGAGAGGGGGGAAAAAAGTCCAAGCCCTGGCAGAGGCATGGCTTAGCACATTCATCAACACGCCCTGCATCCTCCAGCTGGGGTGGGAGTTAGCAGAAGGGCTCATCTGTCCCTCCCAGCTCAGGAGCATTGCTCTCCTCGGTGCTCATAACCTGGTTTTAGAGACAAACTCCACTACTCTGGTATTGCTGCTCCCTCATCGGATGGGAATTTTGGGGAGTGGCTCCGAGGGACTGCAAGGCAAGCGCCTTGCCTCAGCAGAAGCTGAGTGCTGCAGCGGTGCCGCACACCAGCAGCCCTGCTGCGCCCTGGTGACGCGGAGCCACAGGCTGGGGCACCCATACCACATCCTTTGACTGTTACAAGCGGTTCCTGGAGGGAAGAGCCATCAGACTTACCCCAGCTCCCCAGTTACCATCTTCCAAAGTCCAACAGCAATTGTAAAGAGCAATAGCAAACCATGAAAAAGGGAAGCAGAACATGTTATAGGCAATAATTTCTCTAAATGCCACCAAGCTGAAGTACAAGCTCAGCCACCCCCAGGGTGCCAGGAGCAGTTGGCCAGCCCTCGGGGAGCATGGCATGAGACCCTTTTGCTGAGCCAGTGGCAAACGAGCAGCAGCAGGGATGCAAGAGGGGTCTCTCAGTGCTGCCTGAGCAGCACGATTCCTCCCTCTCGGCTGTGCCAGCGACCGGGCGATCGCTGCCACTGCCAGCAGCCAGAGAGCTGGTTTGGGACCCAGGTGAGAAGACTTTCACTGCAAGAAATGAGAAGAATAGAGCTCAGGACATCTCTGAAGGCTTTTGTAGCCTGCTTTCCTGTTTGTGACTCTGGGGAGGCCACTTACTTTCAGACCAGGAAAGTTTGACTGGCAGCTCTCTCCTGCCCCTGCTGCAGCTCCCTCCAGGCTAGCCTCTCTCCCTTTGCCCCCCCCACCCAGCAACATCCTCTCTTCCACTTTGGAGGGTGATTGCTGGGAGGGGGAGCACCACTTTGTTGTAATCAAAGCGCACAGGATAAACAAGCAGCACTGCTGGCTTCAAAACACTCACTCACCTGCTTCTCGTGCTGACTGGCCATTTCCAGTGCACTGGTCTTGCCTGTGCACACAACCCGTTCCTTGTTGAATTACTGACACTGCTAGTCAGGCTCTCTGTCTTGCAGCCCTGCATGGCGTATCTGGCTCAGCCCTACTCCCCAGACATTAAGTACCAGCGCTTTAAGCACGTGGGGCTGGAATAGAAAATATTCAAGAGAATAACAGCAGAGGACCAGCTTGAATTGATGCTGACATCTGTGCGCAGGGATAAGTCTGCAACTCTCAGCACGACTTGCAAGAGCCCCTGCTCCTAGCATGCCAGGTCCTTCCAGAGATCACTCAGGCTTCAATCTCAAATGTTCAGGTCCTTCCAACAAGCTTGGCCCTTACGCTTATCAGTCAAGAAGAAAATAGCAAAAGTAACCCTACTGCAGCACATTCACTACACAGAAACTACCACACACTCCTACAGTTATATTCACCAGTGTAAGTCAATCTGAAGCTAGTGAAAACTTCTTTTTCACTCAACCTTGCAAGAAAGCATCTCTCTCCTCTTAGCATATTCAAACAGCAGCAAGTGCGTCGCCAGGTATGAACCTAATTCAAGCCTGCTGGGATCCATAAACATGGATTACAGGGAAGATAATCAGGTCACTGCCAATAGAGAATCTGAAACTGAGATGGTCCTGCTCCAAGGGAAGGGAGCAGCGTGTCCAGCTCCTTGCAAGAATTAATTTTCCCTCTTTGCATGGAGCAACAGGCCGCCTTAGAAGAAATAACTAAATCCCGATGGACCCTCCTCCAGGTGCGGCACTGTAGTTCCCAACTGAGCATGAAGGAGTCCTTCAGCAGTAGCAACAAGCACTTGCCTTCTTGACCACGTCCCATGCTTCTGGCTCAGCACATGCACCCATTTCACCCGCTGAAGCATGGCAGATGGCTCAGTGGACACTTGCTGTCTATGCCCAGTCTCCATGCTCTTTCAAAGGATGGACAAGTAGCACATCGAGTGACTTGACTGACCTGGCTACCAAAACTGCTTGAGATGTCAGCGTATCGGGGACAAGCGGCCTCAGCATGGCAAAGAGCACGGGCTAGGCACTGGCACTGCCCTACCCATTTTTGTATGGGTATGCTGCAAGGCTGGAGCCAGGTGGGTCCACGCTGGCCGTCCTGGAAGCCCCACTCTCCTGGGAGATGGTCTCTGTAACAAGATTTGTGGGGGTTTGGCAGCCCATAGGCTGGGAGCACAAACCAGAGGTGCCCACACGTGGTGGGAAAGGGAAGAACAGGCAGTTGTGCCCCTGATGGAAGTAGACACTTAAAGGTGAGTAGCCCTCTGTTTCTCTTGTATATAACAGGTGGAATGTACATAGGCTTCATCTGGTGGATCAAGGAGGGCCTGAGACAGGGGTCGCAATACAGTGGTGAGGGTTATCATGGTGTAAATAAAACGATCCTTGCTTAAGATTAGCATGCAACATAAATGTTCCCAGTAGAAGCTGGTATTGATGGCTTCAAGGAAGGAGGTGTGAAGTCACTTGCCATGGGTACATCCTGATCAGTAAGTGGCTGGCTTATGCTGCCATGTGCATGATTATGTTTTTTGAACCTACTTTGCATGATTAGAGATTGTAGTACTCTGCCAATCCATCAGCATGCTCAGACATTAGTGAGAAATAAACTTACAAAAGCTTTGTATCTCTTGTTCTTCTGTTCTTCCAAGATTAAACAGGAACTTACATATGCAATACAGGGCGAGGGGTGAACTTAAATAGCCATTACATGTGAAAATGCTGTTGCAACAGACATGGATTGGCATTCAGGAACTGGCTGGGCTTCCTTCTCCCAAATGAACACTTACTCATGGTATATTTTACTGAATTATGGTTTAATTTCATATGTTGCTATGTCTGTACAACATTGTACAAAATATAATCAAAAAGAACCTTTCAGCCCCACATAGATGTTTGACTGGCTGTCTGAGGATCCCGTGGCTTTGAGTCTTTGACCTAGACTCTCCTGTCCTCTAGATGCCGTCATCAAAGTACCTTTGGTCGTAAGGCTACAATGCTATACATTTGTACAGTCATCATAACATTTTTGCTTTCCAGTCTCCTTCTCTGCTCAGTGCTGGAATCCCCCAGCAGTGGCAGAGGATCTCTGGTGGTACCTCATATTTCTGGTCAAACATGAAAGATTTTTAACCTCTTTTTGCATTAGGCAAAAACATTCTAGCAACGTCATGAGGCAGGGGCAGTTATGTTTCAAAGGTGATGCTAATGCAGTAGTTTAGGACTGATACATCCTTTTTTACAGCACTTGCTACAGTAGGTTTTTTAAGTACAGCATTGATCTGCTCACACTAATACAACTGCTTCTAGATTTCCATTCATTCCCATGAATGTGTTTTCACTGTGAGTAGCACTACCCCATGTTAGCCTAGTCTGAGAATTTATCTCTTGCCCAGATAAAACTAGCAGGCAGATACCCTTTTCAACTTAGAGGTTAAGGGAAATAATATACTTACTGCTACTGGTATTGGAATACATGCGGAACTGCTTCTATCAGAATTAGGAAACCTGCTGAGAATTACATGAAATCTAAAATGATTGCTTCGGATTAGAAACCCACAAGCTAAAAGGCCAGCTTCATAGATCTCTGGTGTCAAGAAATGTTCTTGTTGCAGCCTGACAGCAGGTGAGTAGTGTGGCAAAATGATGTCTCATGCCTGTGTTCTCCATGGAAAGTTTCATGTTGGCCAATTATTTTTCCTCTCGTCTTCTGTGTTCCTGAAGCTTCTCATCTGTGTTTCACAGGTCTAGTGGAAAGCCATGATCATTAAAAAAGATTATCTTAAAGCTTTTTTCCCCGTTTTGACTACAATGCAGCATCACATTCAAAATGCAGCTACTGGATTTGAAAAATAAAACACTCAGACACACATAATGCACATCTGAAAATAAATACACAGACTTCGTATAGAGCCAGTTCTCAGTGAAAACCTTCTCATTTGCATAGTAGTGCAGAGGTGTTCTCAGGAAGGTCATGCTACAGGGTGGAGTCTGAAAATAAGAGAGAGAGAGAGAGAAGTAGCTCAATGATGGAGATAATCTGTAAGGTACACTGGAAGGGGGATGTGAAATGATACAGGGCCAAAAAGACCAATGTCTGCAAAAGGATTATAGGGATTTAACTGACCCATTTCTCCACTCATATAACCCCAATGAGGTATTCTGAATTACACTCAAAGGAAAATATTTGACTCAAAGTAAAGGATATTTCATAACGCACTGAGTAAAAGTGCCAACAATACTTATCCATAAGTATATCCACCATGTGTCTATCCTCAGTCAACAACACTGATTCTCTATTCACATCAGGACCCTCAATGACCTCGTTTAACCCATACCACGTTCCTCTCTTTCCTCCCTTCTCACTGCCTTTGGCCACCTAACACCAGCTTTTTCCTCGCTGCTTCACCTAACCTTGCACACCTTGCAGGATCCTCTATTCTGCGGCTCCTGCACTGTAGAAAAATCTAACCTAGATATTATCTTATTAAATGAAGATGGGATATTTTTTCCTAAAAGATTTGCTCAAGATCAACCAAAACCCAAAACCTCTGGCTCATGTAGAAATCACGTGTTTTTCTCACGTCTGCCTTTTCATTCTTCTTTCTGTTTCATACTTGATCACTAGCAGGTTAATTAAAAATTCAATAAAGCAGTCCAAATACAACTGCCTTACAGGACATTGCTCTTGTCAGTAAATAAAGCTGTATGGCTACCATTTATAAGGCATCTTGACAGCAATGATGTATCTTGACATCACACAATGAAGGAAGAGAAGCATTAAAGACTGTTACCTTTAATAGTGAGGGAGGCTTTGCTGAAGGCGCGGCCCAATTCATTCGTGGCTTCTGCCATATATTCTCCTTCATCATGTTTTGTGACCCCTAGGACGACCAGGGAGCAGACACCGAAGTTGTTTGTGCAAAAATAGTTAGGATCATTGGAGAGGTCTCTACCGTCCTTGTACCATGTGATCTTTGGAGGTGGATGGCCTCCAACCGCACAACTCATACGGCACTCACTCCCAGTAGTCACCACATGAGGCTTCAATGGGACGAGGAATCTCGGGGGCTGGTTTTGATTAACTCCCCTGTATTTCTGTGGTTTGACTTGAAATTCAGCTGTTAAAAAAAATGCAACATACAAACACACACTGAGATACTGCTTCACAGCAATAGAAGTCAGGGTTTAAAGAACTGGTTTTCAATCATGACATTTGGTTGTGCAGAATGTCTGGCATTCTGCACTGCAAATTGCCAGAGATCCCATGCACCTATCGACTGTAATCTGTGTTTCTTCTCAAATTAGCCAGAATTTAACTTTGAAGTCTTTGACGAACCTTTGGTTTCTGTAAAACTTAAGCCCTAGATTTTGCTGGAAATTAATTTTGTGGCAAATTACATGACGTAATGGCTGGAAATAAAGGGTCTATTTGCACAATGTCCATGCAGAAAGGACAAGCCTTCCCTACCAAACTGGAATTTCTTAGGGTATCTCCATGAATTCCTGTTCTGGGCAACTAAATGTTCACGGAGGAGAGACCCATTTCAGGATGGTATGTTAGAAACAATAAAAGAAACAAAGCATGACGACACACAGATAACTATTTGTAAAAGCTGGTTTACCCTTTGTTTTTTTAATTCTCCAAGGCTGCACAGTGTCAGACGGACCACTGGCTCCCAAGTCATTTTTTGCCACAACCCTAAAGTAGTAGTCCCGGCCTGGGATCAGCCTGGTGAACGTGAACTTGTTGGTGTAGATCAGGTCACCCACCATGCGCCACAAGCCCTTCTGCGATTCACGTTTCAGGACTGTGTAGTAGAGATTATTTTCCCATTTCTCAGATGCTGATGGCTCCCAGGTTACTGTCACTGTATTTGGCACATTCTCTTCCAATTGAATAGGTCCAGGCGATTGTGGGATATCTGTCAGATGAAGGCAAATAATATCGAAAGATGAAGGGAAAGTGGCACAGTACAGAACCCTAAAAACTTTGAGTCCATTCTATGTCTGGGGGCTGAGTAAACGTCCTGGTCATTAGAAGGGACAAAAATTTGATTCCTTCTCCATGAGCTCATTTGCTATTAATTGAACTTCTGCTGCATTACAGCTGCATTGCTGGACCTCCTTCCCTTCTTATAGGGAGGAGATGAGGGCTGGTACACCTAAACTTTTTCACCTCTTAGGGAGGCAGCATATAGAGTTGTAGCTATGACTAAATGTCCTACAGCCTGCTGCTGACTGACCTTAGACTGTTAAAAAGAGCATGGACTTCTCTCCTGTGGTTTGCACTATCCATCTGTGTGGCCTTGCCTTTTTAAGCAGAGTCACTCTGAAAGACGGGTGTAATTTTAATCAGTGGATTGCTCTGTCCTGCAGACACTGCCAAGTGATATCACAAAGTGGCCAGACTGAATCTCATGGAAAACTGTACTCTAGTTCTCCCTGTGCCTGCATGGCTTAACTGCATCAGAGCTCACCTTGCTGAACTCGGTTTGTTGCCTACCGTCTATTTGCAGTAAATCTGTATGTGTATACGGTAGTGAGTAAGTTACCTGTAACTTGAACTTGGAAGCTGAATGTTTCTCTTTTCCCTAACCCGTTCTGGAGCTCAACGGTGTAGATGCCACTGTCAGTGAACTCAGCTGCTCCAATCAGCAGCTGGGTGGTACCATCTTTGGTATTTATTGTAGCCCGGTTTGGAAGAGGAAGACCATCCTTTAACCAGGTCACCACTGGATCTGGAGACGCCTGTAAAGAACAACACGAGTTATAGCCCACTTGTTTTGCCTCCAGATTGCATCTTTACATCTTTAGTTTCATTATCTTGTCCCAAATGTATACCTATATGACACAGTAAAGTAGTATCTAGAAATATGGATCAAAGATGGATCTAAGAGCCCTGGATAAAGGGCTGCTCTAAAGTTTCTTCGTAACTTCTCTTTCTCTGTGTCTTTTAAGAATGTTATTGTAGTAAGGTGTTCAGGTTAACTATGTAAAACAAGGTGCGCTAGATGAAGAACAACAGACGACATCAGTAGTTAATATTTTCCACTTTTAAAAAGATCTGCTGGCTTTGGAAAGAAAAAAATCCTCTAAGTCTTTATTACCATTGTGCCATCTCTGGTCTCTATTCTCCAAGAGATTAGGAGAAAGGCCATGTCCTGGTTTCAGCTGGGATAGAGTTAATTTTCTTCCTAGTAGCTGGCACAGTGCAATGTTTTGGACTTAGTATGAGAATAATGTTGATAGCAATGACTCAAACATCAGTGCGTTAAGTAGTGCTTACACTAGTCAAGGACTTTTCAGCTTCTCCTGTCCTGCCAGCGAGAAGCTGGAAGGGGGCACAGCCAGAATAGTTGACCCAAACTGCCCAAAGGGCCATTCCATACCATATGGAGTCATGGGCAGTATAGAAACTGGGGAGGTTGGCTGGGGGGCTGCGATCGCTGCTCGGGAGCTGGCTGGGTATCAGTTGGCGGGTGGTGAGCAATTGCATTGTGCACCACTTGCTTTGTATATTATTATTATGTTGTTATTATTACTACTACTATTTTACTTTATTTTATTTCAATTATTAAACTGTTCTTATCTCAACCCATGAGTTTTCTCACTTTTACTCTTCCTTCTTTCACTCTCCCGATTCTCTCCCCAATCCCACCGGGACAGGGGAGTGAGCGAGCAGCTGCGTGGTGCTGAGTTGCTGGCTGGCGTTAAACCACGACAGGCCAGCAAACACGCACACTTTGCCTTCATCAACCTCTTCTTGATATCCCAGACTTTAGCTGTGCTGTTGCAAGCTTACGTCAAAGCACACAAGATTTCTGTCAGTGCATGCCTATTTCTCAAGTCATACAGCTTAAGTCCTGCTGCTTAGTAAGACAAACACGGTCAAGAGGCTGTTGCTAGAAATGCTACCCCAGGGCCTTCCGAGGGAGTCAGAGGGAAATCGACTGATTTTTAAACTCTAAGTATGACAGATTAGTACCAGATGATGACAATATTGATGTGGATGGACGGACAGCATTGTGCCTTGTTTGCAGAGGTTAATAAATGATCATAATCTCATAACACACTAATGCCAAGAGTGACAGCTGAATTCTTGTTCATGTTTTCCTCATGCAGAAAGTATACACAGCACAAGCAGGTTAAAGGATTTGCCCAGTGTCTTGTAAACAAAATTCCATGCCAAGAAAACAGTAGCTCAGTTTTCATGTCTGCTATTGACTACAATGTAAAAACAGACAGGAAATTCTTACAAACACATTTGAATACTTACTTCAAAGGGAATATTCACTCGGATGGTATTTCCTGCTCTTACAACCAGGGAGCTTTTCACTGTGTCATCTATTAGTAACCTGGGAGAAACTGGAAAAGACAGTGATTACAATAAAAAGTTGTACATTATTACAACAAGCTGACAAACTCATTCGCATGTGTTCGACACCCCTAATGCCTTTCCAACAGCTAGTCTGCAGGCTGTTGATAAACTTATAGTGGTACTGTGGAAAAAAAGCTCCTTGATTCAGAACCAGAGTTTACACCTTTCAAATTTTATTACTACTTATTTATCACTATGACTAAACAAGAGGAAATGATGTAAAAATACATTCAGAACAATGCTTGTATACATGTGATGTCACAATCATGGAGAAATTGGCTCTTTGACACACTTTACCCCACCGCATGCATGATCTTTCACGTAAAATAACATCTGGGGAAAAGGAAATTGCAATGGACACTTAGGAAATATACGTGCAATACTGGGTACAGAACATCCTCAGGAAACCGGCCTGAGTTTATTAAAAATAATCTTTTTTAGTATTTAAAATATTTTTCTTCCTTTTCTCTTTTCATCAATATAATATACTATTGTATTTAACATTTTTCTAAAAAGTGGTACTGTGTGTTAAATTGTATTTAGAATTTCCAGTTTAAAACTGAAAAAACTGCTTCCCAGATGGACTTATATTTATCTATTTACTGATTGATTATAATAGGAGTCTCCAGGCATAGGCCAGAAGTAGACAATTTTCACTTAGGAGCCAAGCTAAGGAAGATGAATCCCTCACAGAATTATCTCTTACTTCTGTATTTCTGCAACGTTCCCAAACAGCAGGGGAAAAAAAAAAACAAAACCAAAAAACAGCTACAGATTATAAATAAAGGTGAAAAAGTGAAAATGGTGAAAACTTTCAAACTAGAAAATTAAAAAGGAAAAGAAAGTTTGCAAAAACCAACATAACAATTGCAATTTAAGAGAATGAAATAAAATATTTAATTCCACAAGACTGTATAAAAATAGACTGAAAACTCTATTTTTCCCTTAAAAGAGCATGGGTAGGAATAAGGTATGTGCAGTTTCTGTCTGGTGATCATGACTGTGGTACAGCTCCGCACAGGGGGCAAAATGTAGATCCGAGGAGAAAATACAGTTTTGGGGGTTCTTTTATCATAATGAGTCTTTAACATGAGCTGAACACTGCGCATTGCACGTTTATTATCAGTTAAATCTTCAGAATTTCCTGATGAGGTGACCAAACAAGACCATGCTCTAGATGAGCAATGTAGTACTTGTCCTTCTGCTACAGTCTGGGACTTGAAAGCAGCTCATCGCAGTGACCTATGACCTTGCCTGCATCCTGTTACCTATAGAATGACCTCGTTCGTTCTGAAAGCAGCCCACTTTGACTTACCTACAGGGGGAGCAGCTTCAATGCAAGCGTCAAGCTCTGTGGCTTCTCCTGGGCCACTGTCATTGAGGGCTCTCACACGTAGGAAGTACATCTCCTTGGCTTGGAGGCCTTTCACTGTGTAAGTAGTCACCTCTATGGGAAAGGTATTGCATTTGGTCCAGCTGAGGTTGTCAGAAGACCGCATCTCCACATCGTAGCCTTTCACATCACCCCCATCTTTTGCTTCAGGTCTCTTCCATGTCAAGGTGACACTGGTGCTGTCACTGCTGCTCACTTTAAGGTCCTGCACTGGACCTGGAGATTCTGAAGAGAGAAATTTTATTTAAACTATTTTTCTAGGATTTCTCTCCCCTCTTTTCAGTCACTTCCTGAGATTCCCCAACATTCTTGAAGTGCACTGGATATCCACCCTGCTGTCTTGCCTTCACCTTGTCCCAGTTCTTCAAAGCTGGATCCAGGTGCCTGCCCCTGCCAGCCATGCACTACAACCTGCAATACTCCTGAAACAGTCTGCAACCCATCCTGAGCACTTCTCTACACCGCGCATACCTCCCACACAGGGAATCTGCCACGTCTTGACTTAGACATCACACAGGAAATCCTTCCATTCCTTCCTCATGCTGATAGCAGATTCTCAGCCATGAAACATTCCCCAATTATTTGATCTCTATCTACACATACTTTCACAAAGCATTTAAAAACGTCGCCTCTCCACTAACATCGCCAGTCTACCTCGCCACCTTTACATCTCCCTGAGCCAGAAGGACGGGGGGCAGTGTACTTACTCATGGAATCCCGCGCAAAGACAGGCTGTGACGGTTCGCTGGCATCTCCCATGCCAGCAGCATTGACAGCTGCCACACGAAATTCATACTGCAGACCTTTCTTGAGATTGGTCATTTTCAGCTTCTTGTCTGCAGAAAGAAAAGGAGCACGTTGGCTCAGGTGAGCTGTTCCCCAATCAGGAAAGGGTGAGACAACGTTGTACTTTACTCCATGCAGAACTGTGGACTGAATAATTCTCAGGAGCTGCCACCGATCTTCCCTACCCTAGTGCATGTGCACTTCTGGGACATGTTCATTGTCTTCCCTTTCAAATCAAACAGCATTTGAGAGCTATTAAGTTAGAGAAAGGATAAATACTGCTTTTCCTCGTGGGATAATCCTAAACTCTTCTATACCAGATAAGAAGTCCTAGCTTGCAACTGATAGATAATTGATAGCTATAGTCAAAACGTATTTTGGAGCTCCTACACATCTCTTGCGTTTCTTTATCTTGCTTGCATTTAAAAGTTCTTGTCTGCCAAGTTCCTAGCATGAAGACTAAGGACAGTAGTTCTGCATGTGAAGTGAAGACTTTAGTTCCAGAAATTGAAAACATCAGTTTATCTACAGAGGAGCTATGTTCCAGGATGCAGCAGTGAGCTTCTCTGCACTCTTCTCCAGCCATATGCTTGCACACAATCTAGAAAAAAATCATAATCCTCCTCCCAGGCATTCAGCTGTATACAAACCCAAGGCCTGGCTTTGCTATGGCACAGCGGTGTAACCTTATTTGTGAAAAAACCTTACTTGTGAAAAAACACGTACACTAGAGCTGTGAAAGATAAGAAGGTAAAACTTCAGACAGCAGTAAAATGGTTGTGATGAGGACAGTCAGCAGCTCAAGAATTCAAGAGGAAAAACATTAATGTGAAAAGGTATAAGATCCTAAACAGAAAGCAAGGAGTTAGAAGGCAGCAACTCCACCAAGATCAGCATGTTACCTCCTGATCCCAGCTGATGTTTTTGTCTTTTTCTGGTCTTCCATTCTGTCCAGGATTTAAGCTACCTACCTGCTATAGGCACATTGTTGACTGGCAGCCAGGTCATGGTACCCTTCTTGCGTTTCTGAACAAGGTATCCCACAATTTGGGAACTGCCAGTTTTACGAGGTGCCTTCCAGGATATTGTGATGTTGTCTCTGCTGGCACTGACAATCTCAGGGGGATCTGGGGCACCAGGTGAAGCTAGAAAGAGATTAGTGTTTCATGATTAGCACGTATATTTTTATTGCAAGATAAGAAAGTATTCTGTGTCATTTCTTCTTCCAGTTTCCCCAAGGTATTCATATGGATGTGTTTTGAAAACCTGACTGAGACCTGAAGCTGTGTATCCTATTCCCCACACAAATAGGGTCTAGCATGGACCTCTGTTCCTGAATTTTGTTTTCATAAATGACCTGCTGTCATTGTGAATGACAATTCCACTGTCAGCCTACAGAGTGAGGCATGTACCTTCTTACATGGTAGGAAAAGTCAGTGTTATTCTTGCTTTTAATGATAGAAACTGGAAATGGATTTTCTTATCCCTCTGCACTCAAAATACAGAGCTCCTCATAATCATGAGAAGGAGAATGTAGAAAGAAGACAATTGGAAACAGAATAGAACATTGCCTTCTCTCTAGTACTACATTCATGCTCATGGCAAAACTGTTCTAGTATTTAAATTCATTGAAGGGCAAAGAATAGAATTAGTGGTTTGGAAATCAGGGGAATGAAGTGGTCATACTGAAAAATGCTGCACATATGGAGACACTCCTTTGCCTACGGAGTTAAGAAAAGGCCTCACATGTTCCCTTTGTAGGCACCCCGGGAAAAATTTTCTCTGATCTTGATGCATATTGCATTTCCCCCATGAAACTTGCTTTCCAATCCAGAATGAAGCATAACTGAGAACGTAACACCATCTCACTCAGCATCACCAAAGCCTACAATAAACTTCTAGTCTCAATGTGCAATCTCCACAGATTTGTGTGAAAACTTCACAGCCGCGATTCAAGTTTAGATCTGCAGCAACATCCAAAACACAGTGACTTTTCTTTGATGTCAGCTTTGACAATGAATTTCCCAGACAGTTGTCAAACACAATTATGAAAAGTTCTTCCTTACCTTTACTGACAGCCTTCACTTCATCTGATTCCAGTGCGTCACTAGTTCCATCGGCATTCACAGCTCTCACCCTGAAGTAGTAGTTCATGTCTTGTTCCACTTTGTTAGTAGTGAAGGTAGTACAGCTCTTGGGGGTTTCTCCCAAAGTCACCCAGTCATTCTTGCCTACCTGCTGTCTCTCGACAATGTAGCGTTGCAGTGGTTTGCCCCCATCATCCTTTGGGGGCTTCCACTGAATGGTGATGTTGTCTGCAGAGCTTTCTACAATTTTGATGGGTCCTGCAGGTGGCTGTGGCTTGTCTGAAAAGATGAGCAGAGAGACTATGAGTTGGCTCCAGACCCAGACGTGCTCCTGGGTTTGGAGCAGACACTGTCTCTTGCTCACCAGCTAGGACACTCAGTTTCTGATGGAATACATGTATAGTTGCAGAATGAGGGCTAGGCACTTGAATTGCCTCTTCAAAACTTCCACTCTTCTAACTTTTGATAAGTGTGGGGGAAGCCAGACCCTTGCTCCACGGGCTAATTGTTCTCATAAGGACTGCACCAATTCAGCTTGCTTATAAGGAAGAACCCCATTTCTGGTCTTCCAAAAGAGCACAGACATTTATGGTAGGGCTAAATTTGGTCTTGATAATCTATTTTAGATTTGCCTGTTGCACATAGTCCCAACCTCCACAGTCGCCCAACATTCAAAACTCAGCTGCTGAGGCAGACTAGATTTCTGTCACCTTGTACTAAAAGGGAAGAAACATGTCAGCAATCTTTGCTTGTACCCCAATTTAGTAGAAAATTGCATAGTCTTGTTCATCATGGAATACCCAGCAGCTCTAAATAAGGTTGTCACCAGTGTTAACAGGTTCCCTGCCTAAGCTTTACAATGAAAGTCACAGTGGATGTTATGGGGCTCTTACCGATTACCACAAGCTTTAAGTTGATCTCCAGGACCCCACTGTCGTTCTTCAGCCTGACTTTGTAATCCCCACAGTCCTTTCTCTCACTGCTGGAGATGGACAGCATGGTAAAAGTCTCTGTTTTATCCACACGAATCCTTGTGTCATCTGCTAGCTCCATTCTGTCCTTTAGCCATGTTGCTCTGACTGGCAGTCGGCCCTCAAAAGGAATCTTGATCTTTACTTTCTGCCCTGCCTTGGCCACCGTAGGAACACTTGTTAAGTTTTTGAGGAGAACTTTGTCAACCTGTGGAGGATCTAAGCAGATGATAGAAGGTCATTAACAACTGCAATTCAAAGAGGATAAGGCTCACCTTGGAGGGAAGGGCTCCCCTCATGATGCTTAGAAGCTCACAACATTTGGACCTTCACCTTTAGTTGCATGCTCAGTGCTTCACATACATACATGTACTTTTTGCTACAGGATAATTATCACAAAGTATTTGTGTTATCATACTGTCCTTTTCACTGGAGCAAATTTCTCAGAGGCAATACGCTAAGCACAAGAATGAAGAATCTGGTCTGATAAAGTGTTATGTGCACCCCAAAATCTTTGAGTTAATAATAGAAGCTCCCTAGTTAAATTTGTAAATACAAAATGCACCAACCTGTACAAAAACTATCTCCCATTTACATGGTAATTCTTTATAATAAAGTTGTCTCAATAACCAACTACAGGTCTCAGAGAATGTATTACATTTCAAGCACATCAAGGCTAGCACGCTGCATTGGTAGTTTGAATAGACTGACCTTCAACAAAAATTGAAGCTTCAGTTTTTATATCTCCACCTTCAAACCTGTATTTCCCAGCATGAATATCTTCCACTTTGTTAATAATCAGTTTGTGAACCAGACCTTCCTTTTCAAGAACGACTCCTTCCATGCTTCTTAACTACAAGGTAAAGCACAGAGACCCATTCTTAAAAACAAAAAGAAAAAAAAAAGGGCAATCCAAACTTAAACTGGACAGACTTTGGCCCTGCTTGAGTATGACACCTCAGAACTCCTACAGTATCATCTGTATCCCACAACTGGAATTACTCTTCAGTGTTGTTTTGGAACATAGAATATGATGCCTATGCTTGACCTTAAGCACTAATTTGAAAGAGTACTCTTCGCATTACGTCTGCCTGAAGGATCCTTTGAAGATTTTCCCTTGCTTTTTTCATATTTCTCTCATTCACCAAGGAAAAGAAAAAGGATTGCATTGCAAGGAAGAGACCAAACACCATCTCCACCCATGAAAAAGAATGGAAAACACAAAGCCTCCTGTTGTCAGCAAGAATAGAAACATCTTGCAGCAGGAAGGGAGAGAAATCTTGCTGGGTTTCTATCAGGAATTTTATTATCAACAGGCTCCTGCAGAATCCTTCCAGGGCCATACTCGGACTACAGTAAGACTGGCAGAGGGAAGGACACCTTAACATGACAATTGATAAGAGGTAGAGCCAGAGAGCAGAGCATGGCTAACCGAAGAAAACAGTAGCTGGAGGACACCTACCTTTAATCCATCTTTAAACCAGGTTCCTGTCACTTCATGTTTACTGACAGTGCAAGACAGCTCAGCTGGCTCCCCTTTCAGGACTCTGATATCAAGTAACTGTTTGTTGACATGACAGCGTGGTGCTGAACATTCAGAAAAGAAAACGTTGAAAAGATGCTAACTCTGTATTACACTGACAGAGAGAAACGTATAGATGAAAATGCATATGCATGTGAGGAGAAAAGAGAGCCTTTTAAAAAATATATGCTGTAGTCATGACAGGCTTTTGTACCACAACACTGTGGGCCAGCTGGCATAAACGCATTGCACCGAGGGGACGCGCCAGCTGGCCTGCATACAATATAGTCCTAACATCAACCTAACGGGCAATGGATTCATCACAAACCACATTCTCCATCTACAGATTTGCTATTTTAAGTCTACGCTAATTGTCTTGGCTCCCTCTACAGCCATGGGGAAGCATAGGCTACTCCAGCATATTAATATACTATTTCATCATTCTTTCCCTCTGCATTGACCAGATACAGGGCTGCCCAACCAGTTCCCCCTAAACAGCCCCAAGTCACCCTATTCTCTATCCCCTGTATTCCTCTTTCCCTTCCCAAGTTCTTCTCCACTAACATCTTCATCCCCTCTCTAATAAACACCCCACCTCCTTCCCCATTAACTCCACTTCTGTTGATTTTACTTCCTTATTTATATTTTGGTTGCCTTGGTAATTTCTAACTTGTCAGCAACTCGATTAGACAAGTATTCCCCTTTGGCTATACATATGAAGTTTCTCATTTCTACAGTTTTCACATTATCATCTTGCTAGTGTAGCCACTGGTCTTAGTCAAATGGCTGCATACACATTACTCGCCTTTTACTATATGCAACACTTCATTATTTCTGATGTTACAATAGGAGAGAGCTCTTTACATTAGGCCCAATGTGCGTATTAATCCAATATAAGCAGGCACAGATTTGTTCCCAGAATTCAGAAAAACACAGATCTTTGCACTAGATGTTAGAACAAATAAAGTGAAACAGTAAGTTTTAAATTGGAACAATATCAAAGAAACATGGCCATATTCCTTGAAACTGTATGGGAACTAGTATGTTTGTGAACTGAAGTCTGTTCCATGTGGATCTGAATCATTTATTTGAATGAACAGATGACACCTGTTTTAGGTATTTTAAACAAAGATCATTTAGACTCTTAAGGCAGTTTGATCTGACTGACTTGTGTAAAGTCAAACAGCAAATCAGTGGTAGAATTAGGAATGCATCTCAGTATAACCAAATTTCTACATATAGCTACATTTGTCTAAACCATAAGATTCGCTTTTTCTCCAGGATTAGGAATGTGAGTATTGAAATGCAAAGACCAATGCAGATACAGAAGTCATTAATTAAACACATACCTTTCAGATCATCTAGACAAAAACGTCTTCTTTTTCCCATACTTTCTGTATTCTTCAAGAAATCATTGGCTTTAATATCAAGGCTGGGTTCCTGTTTTCTCTGGCTTATCGAAGGAGGTCCACCATAAAGATCTGACGTCTGACCATAATCCAATGAACCTTGACCAAACCCACCTGAATTCCTCCCATCAACAGATCTGTTACGGGATTTACTCCCCAACTCCCCAAAGACAGAATTTTTACCATAAAGGGAGCCTAACTGTCCTAAATCTCTGCCCTCACCCCTGGCATCTCCTTGTCCTGAAAATGAATCTCTGTCATGAGATGAACCTTTGTTCCCTGATCCTCTGAAAAAACTGGCAGTGCCCTTTCCAGTTTCACGTCCCATAGAAGAATCCAGCCCATATTCACCACCTTGTCCAACACCACCTGCCATACTTTCTTCACCATGTAACTCCCTTTCACCACCTCCCAACCTGCCAACACCACTGACACCAGCCCTGGCTCCAGCTGACCCACTGTCCTTGCCATAGGGAGACCCAGCCCTTTGCACTGCAGAGCCACCGACATCTGCTCCACCTAAATATCCTTGAGCTTTGCTCAGAATAGCATCCCTGCCATGGCGAGATCCCATTCCTTCTCCAGCTCCAAAGGGAAAACGAGCAGCTTCTGCCGCAGCCCCAGGTGGGAGACCATCCTTTCCATAGGGAGACCCAACTCCCCCTACACCACTTCTACCAGCAGCACCAATGCCTGCTCCAGCTGGAACATCATCCTTTCCATAGGGAGACCCAACTCCCCCTACACCACTTCTACCAGCAGCACCAATGCCTGCTCCAGCTGGAACATCATCCTTTCCATAGGGAGACCCAACTCCCCCTACACCACTTCTACCAGCAGCACCAATGCCTGCTCCAGCTGGAACATCATCCTTTCCATAGGGAGACCCAACTCCCCCTACACCACTTCTACCAGCAGCACCAATGCCTGCTCCAGCTGGAACATCATCCTTTCCATAGGGAGATCCAACACCTCCAAACCCAGCTACACCAGCACCACCAACACCAGCCCCAGGTGGAACACCATCCTTTACATAGGGAGACCCATGACCCCCTACACCAGCTACACCAGCACCACCAATGCCTACTCCAGCAGGGAGGCCATCCTTTCCATATGGAGACCCAACTACCCCTGCACCAGCTACACCAGCACCACCAACTCCTGCTCCAGGTGGAATACCATCCTTTCCATAGGGAGACCCAACTCCCCCTGCACCAGCTACACCAAGTCCTGCTCCAGCTGGGAGGCGATCCCTTCCATAGAGAGACCCAACTCCCCCTGCACCAGCTACACCAAGTCCTGCTCCAGCTGGAACACCATCCATTCCACGCGGAGACCCAACTGCCCCTACACCAGCTACACCAGCACCACCAAGACCACCAGCCCTAGGTGGAACACCATCCTTTCCATAGGGAGCCCCAACGCCCCCTGCACCAGCTACACTAAGTTCTGCTCCAGCTGGAACACCATCCTTTCCATCCAACCCCCCCAACCCCAACTACACCAGCACCGCCAACACCAGCCCCAGCTGGGAGGCCATCCTTTCCATAGGGAGACCCAACACCCCCTGCACCAGCTAAACCAGCACCACCAACTCCTGCTCCAGCTGGAAGACCATCCTTTCCATAAGGTGATCCAACACCTCCAAACCCAGCGACACCAGCACCGCCAACACCAGCCCCAGCTGGGAGGCCATCCTTTCCATAGGGAGACCCAATGCCTCCTGCACCAGCTACACCAAGTTCTGCTCCAGCTGGAACACCATCCTTTCCATAGGGAGACCCAACTCCCCCTGCCCCAGCTACCCCTGCAACACCCACACCTGCTCCACCTGGGAGCCCATCCTTTCCATACAGAGACCCAACTCCCCCTGCACCAGCTACACCTGCAACACCAACACCTGCTCCAGCTGGAAGACCATGCTTGCCATAGGGAGACCCAACTCCACCTACACCAGCTACACCAGCACCACCTATGCCTACCCCAGCTGGAACACCATCCTTTCCATAAGGAGACCCAATGCCCCCTGCACCAGCTACACTAGCACCAGGTACAGCTGCTCCACCTGGGAGCCCATCCTTTCCATACAGAGACCCAACTCCCCCTCCACCAGCTACACCAGCACCACCTATGCCTACCCCAGCTGGAACACCATCCTTTCCATAAGGAGACCCAACGCCCCCTGCACCAGCTACACTAGCACCAGGTACAGCTGCTCCACCTGGGAGCCCATCCTTTCCATAGGGAGACCCAACGCCCCCTGCACCAGCTACACTAAGTTCTGCTCCAGCTGGAACACCATCCTTTCCATGGGGAGACCCAACTCCACCTATACCAGCTGCACCAGCACCACCTACGCCTGCCCCAGCTGGAACACCATCCTTTCCATAGGGAGACCCAACTCCACCTATACCAGCTGCACCAGCACCACCTACGCCTGCCCCAGCTGGAACACCATCCTTTCCATAGGGAGACCCAACTCCCCCTGCACCAGCTACACCAGCACCTCCTATGCCTGCTCCAGCTGGAACACCATGCTTTTCATAGGGAGACCCAACTCCCCCTGCACCAGCTACACCAGCACCACCTATGCCTGCTCCAGCTGGAACACCAGCCTTTCCATACGGAGACCTAACTCCCCCTGCACCAGCTACAGCAGCACCACCAACACCAGCCCCAGCTGGGAGGCCATCCTTTCCATAGGGAGACCCAACTCCCCCTGCACCAGCTACACCAGCACCTCCTATGCCTGCTCCAGCTGGAACACCATGCTTTTCATAGGGAGACCCAACTCCCCCTGCACCAGCTACACCAGCACCTCCTATGCCTGCTCCAGCTGGAACACCATGCTTTTCATAGGGAGACCCAACTCCCCCTGCACCAGCTACACCAGCACCTCCTATGCCTGCTCCAGCTGGAACACCATGCTTTTCATAGGGAGACCCAACTCCCCCTGCACCAGCTACACCAGCACCTCCTATGCCTGCTCCAGCTGGAACACCATGCTTTTCATAGGGAGACCCAACTCCCCCTGCACCAGCTACACCAGCACCTCCTATGCCTGCTCCAGCTGGAACACCATGCTTTTCATAGGGAGACCCAACTCCCCCTGCACCAGGTATACCAGCACCACCAGCCCCAGCTGGGAGGCCATCCTTTCCATAGGGAGACCCAACTCCCCCTGCACCAGGTATACCAGCACCACCAGCCCCAGCTGGGAGGCCATCCTTTCCATAGGGAGATCCAACTCCCTCTGCACTAGCACCACCAAAACCAGTTCGAGCTGGGAGACCATCCTTTCCATAAGGAGACCCAACTCCACCTGCACCAGCTACACCAGCACCACCAACACCTACTCCAGCTGGAACACCATCTGTTCCATAGGGAGACCCAAAACCCCCTGCACCAGCTACACCTACACCTGCTCCAGTTGGAAGACCACCATTTCCATAAGGAGATCCAACACCTCCAAAACCAGCTACACCAGCACCAGCAACGCCTGCTCCAGCTGGAACACCATCCTTTCCATAAGGAGACCCCAAGTCCCCTGCACCAGCTACACCTACACCTGGTCCAGCTGGAAGACCATCCTTTCTGTAAGGAGATCCAACACCTCCAAACCCAGCTACACCAGCACCACCAACACCAGCCCCAGCTTGGAGGCCATCCTTTCCATATGCAGATCCAAGTCCCCCTGCACCAGCTACACCAGCACCACCTACGCCGGCCCCAGCTGGAACACCATCCTTTCCATACGGAGACCTAACTCCCCCTGCACCAACTACACCAGCACCACCAACACCAGCCCCAGCTGGGAGGCCATCCTTTCCATAGGGAGACCCAACTCCCCCTGCACCAGCTATACCAGCACCACCTACGCCTGCTCCAGCTGGAACACCATCCTTTCCATACGGAGACCTAACTCCCCCTGCACCAACTACACCAGCACCACCTATGCCTACCCCAGCTGGAACACCATCCTTTTCATAGGTAGACCCAACTCCCCCTGCACCAGCTATACCAGCACCACCTACGCCTGCTCCAGCTGGAACACCAGCCTTTCCATAAGGAGATCCAACACCTCCAGACCCAACTACACCAGAACCAGCAACGCCTGCTCCAGATGGAACACCATCCTTTCCATAGGGAGACACAAAACCCCCTGCACCAGCTACACCAGCAACACCAACTCCTGCTCCAGCTGGAAGACCATCCTTTCCATAAGGAGATCCAACACCTCCAAACCCAACTACACCAGCACCACCAACACCAGCCCCAGCTGGGAGGCCATCCTTTCCATAGGGAGACCCAATTCCTCCTGCACCAGCACCGCCCATGCCCGGTCCAGCAGGGAGGCCATCCTTTCCATAGGGAGATCCAACTCCCCCTGCACCAGCGCCACCAAAACCAGCCCCAGCTGGGAGGCCATCCTTTCCATACGGAGACCCATCTCCCTCTGCACCAGCTACACCACCAAAATCTGCTCCAACTGGTAGACCATCCTTTCCATAGGGAGACCCAACTCCCCCTACACCACCTACAACAGCACCACCAACTCCTGCTCCAGCTGGAAGACCATCCTTTCCATAGGCAGACCCAATTCCTCCTGCACCAGCTCCACCAGCAACACTGACGCCAGCCCCAGCTGTGAGACCATCCTTACCATATGGAGATCCAACTCCCCGTGCACCAGGTACACCTGCTCCAGCTGCAACACCATCCTTTCCATAGAGAGGTCCAACACCTCCAAAACCACCAACTGTAGTCCCACCCATGCCTGCTCCAGCAGGGAGGCCATCCTTCCCATAGGGAGACCCAATGCCCCCTGCACCAGCTACACCAGCACCAGATACACCTGCTCCAGCTGGAAGACCATCCTTTCCATAAGGAGATCCAACACCTCCAAAACCACCTAGTGCAGCCCCACCAATGCCTGCTGCAGCTGGGAGGCCATCCTTTCCATAGGGAGACCCAACACCCCCTGCACCAGCTACACCAGCACCACCAACTCCTGCTCCAGCTGGAACACCATCCTTTCCATAGGCAGACCCAATTCCCCCTGCACCAGCACCACCAAAACCACCGATACCTACTCCAGCTGGGAGGCCATCCTTTCCATAGGGAGACCCAACTCCACCTACACCAGCATGTCCAACACCAGCCCCAGCTGGAACACCATGACTTCCAGAGGGAGACCCAACTCCCCCTGCACCAGCTACACCAACACCACCAACACCAGCCCCAGCTGGGAGGCCATCCTTTCCATAGGGAGACCCAACTCTACCTGCACTAGCTACACCAGCACCACCAATGCCAGCCCCAGCTGGAAGACCATCCTTTCCATAAGGTGATCCAACACCTCCAAACCCAGCTACACCAGCCCCACCAACCCCAGCCCCAGCTGGGAGGCCATCCTTTCCATAGGGAGACCCAACTCCCCCTGCACCAGCTACACCAAGTCCTGCTCCAGCTGGAAGACCATCCTTTCCATAGGGAGACCCAGCTCCACCTATACCAGCTACACCAGCACCACCAACACCAGCCCCAGCTGGAAGACCATCCTTTCCATAGGCAGACCTAATTCCCCCTGCACCAGCTACACCAGCACCACCAACACCTGCAACAACTGGCTGACCATCTCGACCATGCAAAGCCTCCATTTCCCCTATAGCACTGCCACCTGCACCAGATATAGCCCCATCTCCAGCTGGAAGACCACCTGGACCATACAGCAAGCCAGACCTTCCTGTCTGACCTAAAGGACCGCTAGCATGACGTGTCAGGCCATCCTTGCCATAGGGAGTCCTTATTTGTCCCTCTCTGTTTACACTTGCTCCATTCATATCAACTACAGTCGGCAGGCCATCCTTGCCATATGGGGACCTCATTCCTCCTGCAATCTCCGTACCTGCAGCATTCTTTCTAGCTCCAGTCCCTGGACTAGTCCTACTGAGCAGATCACCTTTGCCACCCTTACCATCTCCCACTCCATCTGAATCAGGATCGAATCCATCTAACAAAGAACTTCCATCAGTAGCACCTAATCTCCCAACACCCCCAAAGCCAGCTCTGTAACTAGTATCACCTAATTTACCATCCCTGTCATGCTGAGAGACCACATGTTCTCCATCATCCATTTCAATGTTAACAGTATCCAGCGTACCATCATCTCTGCCATCCGCAGAATACCATTCACCTGCTCCTCCTAATTCATCACCAGTATCTCCTCTGCCTGCCATGGAATCCTTGCTGCGGAAAGGCCTTAATCCACTTTTGCCTCCTAAGCCTTTTAATCCAAAGCTACTACCATCATTTGTCACTGAGTCTCCAACTAGGTCTACTCCAGAAAACTGCCCAAACCCCATCTTTCCATTTCTGTTGGCTCCACGTAGCCCGTCTTTTCCCAAAAATCTATGGCTTCCATCAATATCAATGGAGTGGCCTTGACTGCTGCCTCGATCATTTCTGTACCAGCCATCTTCTTTCACACCAGTGTCCATAAGATGATCTTCATCACCAACATATTCTCCACGTCGAAGTTTTTTAGTGCTGTCTTTATCTGGGTGTGTTTCTTTCAGCCACTCAGATTTCTCTCTTTCACCTCCTTCACCCTGTCTCCTCTTTCCTTTGGTATCTGTATTGAAAATGCATCGTTTGATTGGAGAAGATATAATTTACAGGATAAGAGAGGAAAAAAGAAAAGAACAGACAATCAATAGGTCATGTACTGCATCAATAACCAAAGAAAATGTGTTAGCGTTTGTTATAATTTCATTCTAGGACACAGAAACATAATATATTTAAATAAATTTAAATTCAGTTCAAATCCTGAATTTCTTCAGTGTCACATTCAGACATAATTTTACATCTCCTAGTTAAAAAGACAATTATTTTTAGTGGAAACATGCTTATTAAAAAACCAACCAACCAACCAAAACAAAAAAAAGCAGAAAACCAAGGCAAATTTTCAGCATGATAGGTCTAATTTAGAGGGGCTTAGATTGTATTTGGGACTCATTAGTTCCTCCTGCCATCACCCTCCAGCCCTGGAGGAGTTACAGAATATCCCATGCACAGAGTGGCCATCAGTTCCCACCCTTGATTTAGGATCTCAGTGCTACTGAGGCAGTTTATACATTTGGCATCCTGCCATTTTAGAGATGGCCAAAGATGACTAAAGATTCTGATTCTGTGAACAGCTTTGTATTAATCCAAAATTCAGGCTTTTCTGAGATAAACAGTGGAGCCTGCAGGTCATGTACTGATTTGATTTCTAGGCTAGATATAATTTCTGTAGAGCATTAAGAGCTCAATGAACTCAGTGGGCAGTTTCTTTGTATGCCATACTCAACCTACACTGTTTCTGAAAGGCCATCAAATAGCCTTTACAAGAGAGACCACCTTTTGCTGCAGCAGGATCTCAAAAGAAACCAAAGCAACTACCTTTCAGAAGCAAAAAAACTGTGAGCCAGCTAACTATTAAACTGTTTGCACTGAAAGGAGTATTTCCCATCTTCCCAGCTTCCTCTGAGCTCCTTCTAACCTGTTTAATCTCTAATTTGGAAAAAATCACAGGAATCAAAGAATCATAGAATCAAAGAAAAACAGAATCTAGCAAGATGCCCTTGAAAGGTCCTTGATCCCCTGTATTCTGTACTGTGTTCAATAACAGCTTCATCAAAAACACATATTGAGATATGGAGTATTTTTCAATAACTGATGGAGAACGTGCTACCTGATAGTAGATGTAAATAAGCCAAAAGGATTTGTCAGGACTAACAAAAAGGGAAAAATTTGTCTCATCTGAAGAGGAAAGAAGGACTAACCAGACCTTTGTTTTTCCAAATATAATTTAGGAACCAGAGGCTCCATAATTAATTTGTCAGCACAGAATCATCCCAATGAGCAATCAGGCAGTGAGAGGAATATTATTTTGTTATCACACCTCAAGCCAACACCACGGGAATAATACAGTGTCACTTACACTCTACAACAAGCCAGGCATTTGAGGAGCAGAGTCCGGTGTCAAGTGTGTACATGCCGCTGTCAGAGGGCACAACGTTTTTGATAATCAGCTGGTGGGTCAGACCATCAGGTGTTACGGAGATCTGGTGCTTCTCACTTGCCTTGAGGAGGTGGGTTTTGTGTAGCCACACAGCATCGTAGCAGGGTGTGCGTAGGACAGATTCAAAGACAGCATCTTCTTCCTCAGGACAATGCACATCGCTGAGCGGCTGTTCAAATCTCACAGGAATGGCTGCAAGCAATGGAAAAATCAAAAGCTATAGAAAGGAAACAGAGAGCTATTTCTGTCTTCCAGGAAAACCTTGTTGCAGCTGAAGGAAGAAAGAAAGACAGGAACTTGCCATGCCTGTGAGCACTGGTTTAAGCAGAGAAAGGAAAAACTGAGATGTGCTCCAGTGCCCAATTCTACCGGACAGAAAAGCAGAAAAGTAGATTTTTGTCTTTATTATCTTCTGAGACATTTATAACACACATCACTCTGATATGCTGATTATTTGCGGTCATTAATGTATTTCAGCAGCATGTATCAAGTCGGTAGTTACTCTTCTGAGCTTACAAAAGGAAACATGAAGTAAGTTATGGAATTTGCTCACTGTCATCCAGAACTCAGAGCGAAACTGGTACTTGAACCTAGTCCTTTGGACTACAAGTGCAACACCCATATCACATCATCACCTTCCTGCTCTTTTTCACCTGTGTCATATAAGGAGCCCTGATTTGGCAACACAAAAACAGTTTTACTGCTGAGCTTTGCATATGCTCCTACATAAAATTTTCCAGCAAAAAATAATTTCTTGTTACAGTTGCACATCACATCCATGTAACTCAATTCCTTACATTCAGCATCCAGTTCAGTTGAGAAAACAGGTACGTCCTCCACTCTGACTTGATACAAGCCTGCATCTTCCGGCTGCACATCGTTGACAATGAAAGTATACCTTTTTCCAATCTGCCTCAGGCAGTGTTTTCTGTACTCATCCCCTGTTCCATATCTGACCCTCTCACCATCCTAAGGAAGAGAAAGAATATACTCTTAAAGGCAACGCACAGCTAGTGCAAGACATTTCAAACAAAGCAGGCCAAATCTGTGCTACGATCGCTTTATTGATATAAACGAGTAACAACAGAGAAGTCTACACTCTCGCTACTCACAGCGGACAGCTGTAAGTGGACAGGGCTCATTGCTTATGTAACACACAGGCAATACTACGTGCAGTTTGTCCTGCACAGAACAGAGCATCAGACTCTCAAACTAGGCAAAACAATAGTACTTTGCTAGCTCATGTAGGCTTTTGAAGCTTAACTAATACACGGTCACTGTAACTTCGAAGACAAAGTACTTTCTTTGCTTAGATTTTAGCATCATTGTAGATGGATAAGCAGGCGCCTTCATCACTTTCCTATCTGTAATACACTTGGGTTACTTTCTCCATGTGGTGACCGCATAGACTTCAGGTCATGAATTTGATTCAGAAGTTCACAGAGTTAGTCTGACCTTTTCTTTAATGAATTCCAGTTTCCCCTGTATTAAAGCCACTAACCACAGTTTGACTGAAATGTATCTTCCAGAAAAACGTCCACAGCACTGATCACCTGGGGATCACAGCAGAATAACTACAGAACGAGATGGGATGTTTTACTTCCTTGACATCTTCTTTCACAGATGTGAATTATAGTGGGATAACCCACTTGAAAAAGTGAATAAAATCAGTCTGTTGTTCTTATATGAGACTGCAGAATTTCTGCAGCTTGAAAGACACCGTTAGAATTTCCTCTTACCGGAAGAGCTCTTGAAGTCAAAAGGATGCCAGTAACCAACTGTTTCCCATGTACTTGGATCTACAAATCCCAAGTGATATTCATCATCAAAGACTACCTGGGCCCCCCCACCAACACTTCTCCCTAACCAATAAAGGATTCTGCAACAGACAGACAACTTTAAGAAGCCTATTTGCTCTCAGCCACTGCCCAGCAGATCAAGCATTTTATGTAGAAGACTTCAGTGGCTGCTATGAGCTAGCCAACTCATCTTGCCCCCTCACCTTAAGCAGATAAACTTTGCTGTTACTGTTTTTCAGGTCCATCTCCAGACCAAACGTAGCTCTTCCCTCCTTGTTGACTTTGATGTGTTTAAAGTTTTTGACACTGTGTATTAACTGCAAAGAAAGATACAAGAACCTAGTGAATGATAACGCTGCCATGACAGAAGTTCTGTTGAAACAATGTGAAATCTACTTTTTATCTGCACAGAAAAGAGCTACATCTAACTTTATGTTTATAGAGAAAGCACCTGTAAGTTTCCACAGTTTCCTCCTGTAGGCAAACTATATTTTACGTGCAACCTCGTGGTCATTCACACACTATGCAACCACTATCCATCCAGGTTTCTACATGCCCCTGTATGTGAAGGCCAGTTTTGACTCTCAGGCATATAACTTTTCAATTTGGGGTCCAAATTCTCATCAGAGGCAACTGAATACAGAATTTAGCCATGTGGTTTAATAAAAGTATTCCCCTAAGGTCAGTATCTCCTAAAATTTAAGAAGTGAACTTCAAAAAAGTCAATAGCATTTTCATCTGCATGAGTATAGAATTAGGACTTCTTTAAAACATTGTCATAAATCATTCTCTGCATTACAATAAAATTTTCACCTACAAAGCAATTTCAGAAGGTTTAGCCTGTTTTCAGAAGCTACTGAGGAACTGTAGGAGACTGCAGTTTGTTAAAAATCAGTGCTTTCAGTGGTTTCAGTTTATTTTACCTCTTCTTGTTCACTCTCTGTGTCCCTCCTTATCTCCTCCAGCTTTCTCAGCATCCCACGGAAGTCAACAATTCCATATTTCATACAGATTTTCTCATAATCTCGCCTGTCTGCATGCAGCAACAGTTGCCAGACTGCTTCTTTGTCCACGGGTTTGGGTTTTGGTGTTGGGGCCCTTAGAACCACAGGGAAAAAAAAATCCAGACATTTTGACAGACAACAAGATGTCCTGTTTTTCTACACTTAATCCTCTTTCATATCTCTCTCCATCATTTCGGTAGTTCACTTGGCTCTGTAGATGTAGACAAGAAAGAACAGGACTCTTCCGGAATAGGTTTCCTGCAGCTATACTGCAAGTTAAATGCTGCCAGGGAACAGTCCTGACCTGGGCCATATAGGGCAAGGCTGTAACGCAGTTGTCCACACTGTTAAATTATCAGCAGAGTCACTGGCACAGTCTGGCCCAGACCAACTTGCACTCTCCCATGTAATTTCTCAGCACAGCTCAGGATTTTGCACAGGCCAGAGATCATTCCCATTAGGCAATCTTCGGAGGTTCCCACCTGGGAAGTGAAGTGATTGCAGCAACGTGCACGTGGCAGCCTGTGCAGCTGGCCTGGGAGCCAGGGCTCAGTCCCTGATTAGCCAGAAAGATCATTACATGAAGACTTGTCACTGAGCCAAGAAATTACTTGTGAACTAAGACCAGGAAAGCAGAGAAACACATCTTTTAAGTCAAAATCTTGTGGTGCAAAGGAACATAGACCTCAAAACGAGGTTGGTGCCTTGTGTTTATCTCAGTCTTCCCATACTGAGTCTCACAACAACTTTGGAAACAAGAAGTGTTGCCTTGAAAATCTATGAAGCTGTCCCCTGTCATCAAGAAACATCTAGGAAGTGTAGCAATGGCCTACATTACAGAGCCTTACCGCTTCCTCAGCAGCTTCCTGAACTCCTGAAGCTTCTTCCTGAACTCTATAAAAGAGAGGGGGTGGGGGGGGGAAGGGGTGGGAAACAACAAACATTCAGATATCCAACACTGTAAAATAGATCCCCAAAAAGAAGATAATGCAAAATAGCCACTGACAACAGGCCATTCTGCTACACTGTTTACCTCTGGTGATGTTTTCACACTTTACAAAAAAAACTGTCATGAAACTTAGAGCCAGTTTTCTCTGCCATGCTCATATCCTTTGAGTGCCATTAAAGGTCATCGCTTCCCAGGGGGCTTTCCTCTCTTCCTAGAGAGGACACTCTAGAAACCTACTATTTTCCAGCCATGTTAACATGTTTGATCCAGCCGTATTTGACATCACAAAATTCTTTTCTAGCACTAATGAGCCCAGAATCATTAATTAGAACAGCTCAAGGCCACGTCTAAGATCGTCACTTTACCGAAAGGTAAATAGCAAGCAGAGATGACAGAACATCAGAGATTCACTAACCCTTCTCTTACTTGATTCTTTACAAGTTTGGGGCAGTAATAATGCAGTAATACAGAAGAGAATTAACTATGCCCCCCGCCCCCACCCCCACCCAAAAAATAGATATCTAACTTACCATCAGCAGGATAAACAGGAACATACTTTGCTTTCCTTTTAAAGCGAACTGATAGTTTATAAGAAAAAACAGAGGAAAAACAAGCCATAAGATGAACAAGGTAACACTCAGACTAACATGAGTAAACCAATGAACTACAAAACCTCTGTATCTGTTACCAATGCAAGAGGAAATCCTAGTTTGGATTTCATTGTCATCTGACACTGACTCCTAGTAATCTCCATCTATAAATGCAATATTTCTGTTGCAATCAACTCTGCGCTTACTGGATAATCTACACAGTGGAGGAGACCATTTCTGCCCTGTGAAGCTTACGGCTTAAGCAATGGTAGGAAATATTAACATCTTGTTTTAGAGATAGGGAGCCAAGGTGCAAGGATTATCCAGCCAAACGCAGATAGGTGCCTTCTAAACTCACTTCACAGGCACACAGGTGAAATGGATGCTTCCAACATAGTCCACCTCCTGCTCAAGTAGATTCCAAGAATAAGTCAGTTATATTTCACCCACAAAGTACCCATTTCTCTCCACTGACTATAAATGGAACCAGGGGACTAGGTCAGGTGGACACCACAGACATCTGAACTGAAGTGAGATGGATCCCTCCCAACAGACTGATTTGTCCAACATCATGAAGAAAGGATTGAGCCAATTCAACACTAAATCCAGAGCTTCTGATTATGGTCCAGTGCAGTGACCACAATACCACTTTCTTCTCCCTTGCCTTGAAGCTCATACTGTCATGGAACCATCAAAGTGGGGGGAGTCACAGGAGACCTCCAGTCCTCAGTGAGTGGAAAAATAGACCTTCACACCAGGGATACTCAGATAACACTCTGGGCACCCACCCCCAGAGGACAGCCAAGCCACAGGACCTTTGGAGCACACAACCTGTCAATCCTACCTTGTATGATCCGGAGGCCAGCAGAGCATGAAGCTTCCCCGTATTCATTCACAGCAAAGCAATGATATAAATCACTGTCATCTGTAGTGAGATTGTTTATCTTAAAAAGAAGAACATAGTAAGAGCTCACAGCGATGTGCTGTAGTCAGTTCACACACCTTCAGCTTCTAATAAAACAGCTACTCAATGACATCTCAGATCTTTCTTCTGTTCCCAGAATGACTCTAAAAAGCTTTGTTTGCTTATCTTTGTGTTATCTCAGATCTGGTGTCTTCTAGATCAGCCCACTGCAGGTTCTTCCTTTCCATTGCTCTCCCTGTTCCACAAGTCCTGTCTGAAATATTTGATCTTTACCTGCAGAATGTATTCATTTGTAACGTTATTGAAGGAAGTTTCGTATCTGGCAGGTTCATCCATTTCTCTTTGCATACGGGTCCATTTCACATGAGGGGTTGGGACACCTTTGACCACAGCTCGGAAAATGGCATTTTTACCTTTGAAAAGAGGCAAGAAATTAGTTATTTAAGACAGGCTTGAACATGAGGACTCTCATGCCAGGCTCCTTATCAATAGAGTTATCCCCAGAGTGAGCCACCTCTGTTTCTGTTTTAGGCAGAAACATTCTTTGAAAATAATTGTATCTTTCTGTTTTCTCTGTAAAAGATGCCTAGATTACCAGTTTAAGTTGCATTAAATGCCCAAATTCCTGCAAGACATTTGTCATAATCTCCACTGTAACTCACTGACTTTCAAAGAGATTACTTGAAAACTAAAATTCACCACTGTCACATGTGGTCTTTGCCTGTGTTTTTATCGCACAGCCATGCAGATAGAGAAATTACGTACCCAAGAGAGCAATTTTTTGGTATCTTGGTCTGATTTTGAACTCCCTCAATATCTGGGCAGGGCCAAAGAGCAGGCAGTTATTAGCTCAAGTCCAGGCTGGGCTACCTTTCCCCACGTCACTAATGTCAGGGTTTGCCTGTATTCAATCATAAAAGGCCCATACAATGTGGTGTTAGCCTGCCAGACGTGACTGCTAACATCCCTTGGCCGTCTCTGAAATCAATGGCGCTATAGCAAGTTCAGCCTAGACTTGCTTCTGGCAACACAAAATGCCCAAACCCATTCTCATCACACACATACTCCCCTACAGGGTCACATCGCTTCTCCATTCTTTCAGAGTATTTCCTTTGTGGCGCCCATGCTGGGCAGGATGTTAATAACACAGGACTCACTGTGCTGGAGTCTCCTGTCTCTAGACATCAGTAAAGTTCATCTGAGAATAGCTGCAGCTCCTGGTCTCTTTTTCATTTGCATAAATCTGGATTCATTAGGAAGTGCAAACAAGAAGATACCCCCTCTGCACACTTAAGGAAACACGTTCTTAACAGACAACACCGTACCACAACTGGGAGGACTCATGCAGGGTAGGGTGTTTCCCCATGTACTCCTACATGTCATCCTTCTGCGGCATCCTCCTGGTCTGCTAGCCTGGCACCACCTTGCACTCCAAACACACCAGGCTCTGCTATTTGAAGAGGCAAGGAAGGGAGAAGAGGATGGGGTTTACCTGTGAGCTCTCTCCATCTCTGCTCCCCTAAGAACCTGAGTATGCTGCAGCTGCCCACAGAAATCTCAAACAGCTTTACCACTGCCTAGTACAAATCTTTTCTTTTTCTTCCAAAAGGCTTCAAAGACATAGGCAACATTATGAAACAACACATCAGAGAAGTGACTCGTGTAGGTAAGTGGGAGTGTTACAGGGGAATAGAAATAGAGATGAGTTATCCATGGATGTAGGTCAGGGCAGAAATGATTACTATCTGTCTTTTGCAATTGTTTTGGTCTTCTGGTGACCAACACTGTTAAAATTTCTCCCCAGAAAGTCTTGCAAAATTTCCCACACCCTTCTGCAGTCACCACCAAAAAACTTATTAGATGCAGCAAGCTCCTGCCAATAGATTCTTATCAAAAAGCATCTTCCAACTTTTTCTGAGATTACAGTACTATCTATTACTAAAGTCTATTTCCAATTGATTATTCCTTTATCAAATTTTAGCCATTCTGGCTGCAACTTCCCATGCTTGCCATCTGTCACAGGACACAACTCCACAGCTAGGAGTATCAGCTAATCCACGCACTGAATGCAATGGGGCGATGATGATATAATTGAAGACACTCATCATGCACCTGCATAGACACTGAATTCAGTTTACGCAGTGACCAACCTGAATGCCCTAACATTTTGTATATGAACTGCGAGGAACCTACTGGAAATGAAATACCTTGGAAGATTTAGACAGGGTGACTGACCACCACGTTGGTTTGTGCCTGAGACTCGCAGGTGGAAGGAAGGTGGTGGGGGACGAGGAGGGATGCACCACTAGAGGCCACTGTGCTCCTTCCGAAAATCTCAATGGCTCAGGAAAATCAACAGATGGGCGTGACAACACTGAAATCCAGGGTGCTAGAAACGGGTCAGTCTTGTGAGGGAAGAGGAGCTACACGATCTCCTCAGGCTATCCCACTCCAAAAAAAAAAAAAAAGACCCTGCAAGTGCAGAGAGATTACTGGAAGGCTTCCCATTGATTTGAGGTCTCCGCTCATCAGCTGCCTCCTCTGTACTCTATGCAAGATCCATATTGCTTCTTGAAGAAGTACAGCCTAAATAGCATCTGCAGTCAGTATATCTTACTTTTAAAAAGTTAACTTTAGTGCTGAACGCTCATGATACAAGTTAGTTCAAACAGGAAAAAACAACTTTTTCCATGTGCTTAATCTTTTGCTGCAAAATACTTACTTTGAGAGCTTCCTGCAGAATTCACAGGATTTGTTGTATCCATTAGGAGCCAGATTTTGATCTTGCATACACGAGTGAAAACTTGGGAGACCTCTATCAGTACTGATGGAATTTTCATCAGTACAACAAAGACTTTGGCCACACACTTGTTATGGGCTAGTCAAATCTCCTTAGAAAGTAGCTTGATTTAATTACGATAATTGTTTCATGTCAGTGAGACATGGAGTCAAGCCTCCAGGCCTGTGGCTTTGATTGTTTTTCAAGAATCTCACCTTCCTGCAGTGTCAGAGAGACAGGTTTCCGCTCAAAGTCAGGTGTACTGCATCCTTCTGGAATATCATCCACAAACTGGGTGATAACGACTCCTGGGACAGAAGATTTCTTCAAGGATTTTACTAGAAATGCAAGGAAAAGTACATTCAATTAAGATAACGTGTTTTTCCGTTAGAAATAATCTCTCAATCTGCATCACCTCTCTGCAGAACAGTAACTGTTCCTGCTCAGCTTGGACTACAAAGGACCCATCCATTCTACTACTACAGGCTGTAAGTGCATCCAAAGGCTGGAGCATTACGTTCTGTGATTTTGTGCTGACTTACTGCAAAGCTAGGGCCCAAGTGGGAAAATCTGCGATCAAGATCACAATCCAGGGTCACATCGTCTTATGGGTCTAGTGATGATTTGGATAGAGAATGCTTTACGTCAGTTATTGTTCCAAAAAAAAACCTTCAAAATCTGGCACGAGAAAGAAAGGTCAGCAGAACCCAGTGAACCTGTTACTGGTGTCTCTCCTTGTGGAGATGAGAGCCAGATACCTAACTGCCAAACAAGAAAAGCAAGTTGGATTTATTCCCAGGGGTACCCCAGACAGTTTTCATCACTGTGTCTGTTCTCTCACCTGCCTGACGGCTTGTCATGATGCTTTGCTCAGCTGCCTATGGTCAGCACAAACAGACTAGAGGGTCTCCTGTGAAAGAGACAAATCATTTCATTATTTACAGTTCACAAGGGAAATGACAGACCTTAATATTGCTCACTTTTGTGATGCAGTTTGTCCTTCCTCACTTGCCACATCCTAGCAGACAAGTTGAGAAAGGCCTGCCAATCAACACATCATGACATGTCTTTCCAAAACCCATCATGACACAGTTTTGAACCAACACAAACCAGGTACGAAAATGGCTAGCAGGGCTAAATGGAAAATGTACACATCTAACAGCATCCCTCTGTCACCTCTTCCATTTCCATGTCATCTGGCTTTCCTCCAAAGACCTCCTCTCGTGTTTCAGGCAAATATTACACCACATGGCACTCACGCGGTGAGTTCTGATGGATGGCAAGAGCAGTTGCTGAGAAGAAAGCCACAGAGATGGATGTCTAAACTGAGGCATGAAGCAGAAGCACATCCTGATCTAAATTAGCTTGTCTAAATTAGCAACAGACCTGAGAGCAGACTATAAGCTACTTACTTTAGAAGGAAATGGTGAAGTGTGAACTTGGCGTTAACTAGTTATTGTTATAGATCA